AGCTAGGACCTATTGGCAGTCATGTTCAGGATTTCCCTTTAAAGTCTCTGGGAGGAAGGTGGCTGGGTTTAAATTGGAGCAAGTCCTTATTTGAGTTATGGGTCCATCTAGAATAAGGTCTGACATTTTAGAAGGCACCTGTCTAGGGGCTGGGGATGTGGCTCAAGTGGTAGCGTGCCTGAGGCACAGGGTTCGATTCTCACCACATAAAAATAAAATAAAGATATTGTGTCCACCTAAAACTAAAAAGTAAATATTAAAAAAAAGAAGGCACCTGAGACCCATACTCTTCCTTTTGTATTTAGAATCCCTGAGAGATCCTGGGAGGTGCAGCCAATAGGTCTCTTCCCAGGATGGTTTTGGCTGCCTCAGGGACTAGGAGGGCTACTGCCGCTATCACTCTCAAACAGTGAGGCCATTCTCCAGGCAGGAGATCAAGCTCCTTACTGATAAGCTACTGGCTGTTGAGCAGGCTCATTCTTTTTTGTGACCACTCCCAAGGCTGTTCTTCCTCTCTCAGTGACAAGCAGGTCACATTTTTTGTTCAGTAGGTAAACTGAGGGCAGGGACTTGGAGTAAGGCTTTGATCTGTTCTGGTTCCCATATCAGGGAAGCTGGTTCTTGGGTAGTCTTCTTTGAGGAGGCTACAGAGAGGCTTAGCTAATTCCCCATATCCAGGAATCCAACGCCTGAGTGTCCAGTTGCCCCCAGGAAGCCTCTGAGTTGCCTCATGGTCTGAGGTAGAGGACATTGTCCTACAGGAGTTATTCTTTCCTGTCCTAGTTTGTAGGTTCCTTGAGACAGCTGTAATTCTAAATATTGAACTTCTTTTGGGCACAATTGAGCTTTCTTCTTTGAGACTTTATACCTCTTATCAGCTACGGAGTTTAGAAGTTCTCTAGTGGCCTCTTGACATTCTTTTTGAGTAGAGGCACAAAAAAGTATGTGGCCTACACACTGGAGGACAGTCATCTGGGAAGAAAATCAAATGCTGCTCTTTCCCTCTCCTGCTCCATCTGGTTGCTGAGTGACCTACCCCAGGAACCCCTCCTTCCTGCAGGGAGTCATGAGAGTTGTTAATTGAAACCTTACTGCTTGGATCACTCCACCACTTGGCTCTTTCTCTTTACCTATTTGCTTCCCACCTTTTGGCTCGCCCTGACCACTGGTCATGGATGCAGGATGGGGAGAGATAAGGGCAAAGAGAGCATGAGAACTAATAAAATGTAGAATTTTTTAAAGGGGCAGGACACTCTCACTTCTTTGGATACCAACTCTCACTCTCACTTCTTTGGATACCAACTCTGTGTCCCCTTCTCTGTAGAGAAGTCTACACAACAATTCAACTTGCTTTTTACTCTTGCCTCAGTGATTCTCCATTGTTGAAACTTCAACACCTGGAAAAATGGAACTCCTTGTCACCAGTAATAGGTGGTATCAGCATCAGGGCAGTGGCTTACTCACTAACTCTGGTGTACAGTCTTCAGAGCATAGTCTCTGTGGAGGGGACACTGTGACCACTGTCTTGGGCATCTGCAGCCAATTGTACTGCCCCAGCCCACTTCAGCACAATGTTCTTTTGTAGATGGACACAACACCTTTATTTATTTTTATATGGTAGTGAGGATGGAACCCAGTGCCCCACATGCGCCAGGCAAGCGCTCCACCACTGAGCTATAACCCCAGCCCTGGCATAATGTTCTTATAACACAACGGTGACCCTGCTGCCATTGAAGAGTGCAGGCCATGTCCCCTCCCCTTGAGTTTATCCCATATGATGGTCTTGTCCAAGGGGCCCTGCAGGAGTGACACTCTGTGACTTCTGAGGCAAGGTCGTAAAATACCATGCRCATCCCCCTGGAAGCTTCTTTTAGAGTTCAGCTGCCATGTTTCCAGGAAGCCCAAGACACAAGGAGAAGCCATGTTCACATGCTGCCTAAAAGCCCAGACAGTGTTGGCCAACAGCCCACGTCAACCACCAAAGACATGAGGGAGGGAGTCTTGGGCTCCTGTCCCAGCAGCATCTGGTGACAACTGCAGGAAAGAAAGTGCAAACTGTCTAGCCAAAGCTAGGGAATCTTGAGAATTTCTGCAGATAGTAATAAAATGATTTTCATTATTTTAAGCCACTAAGATTAAGTAGCAAGAAATACTACAAATATACAACTGCTTTCTGGGAAGGGGGATGGAATTTGTATTCTCAGTGGGAGAAATGAGGGTCCATTTCACTGCAGCCTAGCTGCTGGATCTAAGGAGAGGTGTAGGCATGGCCATGCTGGGAGCAGACCTGATGCTCTTTCTAGTGTTGCTAGACAATGGGATCTTTTGACCTGATGAAGGTGGAAATACTGAAATAGGAGTCAGGTGAATGAGTGTGCTTTTATTGGGGCTTCCGTTTAGGGAGACAGCTCTCACAAATAGATGTCAGGCTGGCTCCCTAAACAAGTAGTTTTATTGACTACTTGCAATGGTGGAAATGTTAATTGACTTTAGATATATTCAGGAATTTTGCCCTGTGCTAAAGATAGCTGAGTTTCTGAAGCTGCTCAAGAGAACACATTCCAGGCAATCTGACCTCACTCCTGCAAAACTGACCTTCTTGAGGGTGGCACACTCCAAGCCTCTTGGGGTTTGAATCAGGCCAGAAGTCAAAGCCCAGAAATGCATTTGTCCTTTGTCCCTATGATGGTCCCATCTCACTAGGACGCCTCAGGGCCTCTTCCTCTGCAACCCATTCAGTTAATCTTTCCACTTTCAGATTTGGAGCAGGAGACTTGGCTTCTAAGCATTGAGGAGGGACTGGATAATGCACCTCAGGATGGGGGAAGGGGTTCTTGCTGATGACATTGACCTCAAGGGAGGAGAGCTCCCAGCTTTCCTTCTTTCCATTGGATGGGACTGTCAGAAGAGGCTGAAATCACCAGAACTAGAAATAAGAGTAATAACATGATGTCAATCATGCTGTGTAGGTTGGAAAGTTTTATTCTAAAAAGTGTAATTTACTCTTTGGGGCAAAGGAAGGATGAAGGAACTTGCTCTCATACTTAGAGCCTGCACTCAGAAATTCTGCTCCTGGGACTCCATCTCCAAAATATAAGCCAATTGTCTACCATTTAGCAGTAGTGGAAATACCACCCCACTTTTGGGTATCAAGCAGCCAACAAAAAATTATTAACTCTGCAAGATTACTTGGGAGGAATTTCATAAGGCTGTGTGTGTGTGTGTGTGTATGTGTGTGTGTGTAACAGGGGAGTTTAGGCACTAAGCCACAATCCCAGCCTCCTCCYGCTTTTAAAATTTATTTTGAGACAGGGTATCACTGAGTTGCTGAGGTTGGCTTTGAATTTGTGATCCACCTGCCTCAGCCTCCAGAACTGCTGGGATTATAGGCATGTGCTACCATGCCCAGCATTTTTTTTTTCCGGTGAAAAGCTGTGTTTGTGTTTGTGAAAAATGTAAGTGCATGGCCCACAAATGATGCAGGCAGGAGACAGGAAGCAAACCTCAGATCAGCACGCTTTCCTGTCTGCAGAGAAGTCAATCCATCAGCACAGGAGGGCTCATTTTCTGGGTATAGTAATGACTCCCAGGTAAGAGAAGGAGTCTAGGCTTTAGAGTTTATGGTGAGGGTAAGAGAAGGAGTCTAGGCTTTAGAGTTTATGGTGAGGGTGAATTAATCACTGGACACTTGGGGACCTCCTGGTTCAGGTTAAGATTTTAACTAAGGAAAGCAGCTGTAAAAAGTCTGAAACTCACTGTCACTGGGAAAAGCTCAGAGCTGTGTTCACTGCTTATCTTCCTTCCTCTGGGACCCACCATTACCTAGAGGGTCACTGTTCCTTTTCTCCTTCAGGACTCATCTGCAATGGGAAAGGGTCAAAGTCCAGGGCCCAGCATTTTAGTATTTGCTGCCTGCCATCAGGACCCACTGGGCCTGGGAAGGGGTAAATGATTTTGGTGGAGATGTTGGGGATGAGCCTGGGAAAGGACCAAAGTTTGCTCAGGGCCCATTATTACTGGGAAAGGATGTATTGGGAGAGGTTTAATATTTGGCTAATATTTGTGTGTGTGTTAGTGTGTGTGTGTGTGTGTGTGTGTGTGTAACAGGAATTGTGTGTGTGTGTGTATCAGGATTTGAACTTTCCCCTTCCTCCTCTGAGTCACACTGTCCCTCCTTTTTTTTTTTTTTTTTTGAGGGGGGAGCACTATCTTGTTGGAATATTATTTTCCATAACCCTTCAAAAACCACAAAATAATTGCCTATGAAATGGTATTTAAAAAACTAWTCAGAGTTCCCAAAGCCGATGTCTAGCTGTGTTTGTGCAGGATTTGTTTGAAGTCAGGCTATGGAGGAAACCACTGAAAGGACAGTTTATTGTGTTAAGGTGGACGACAGAAGAACCAAGTGAAAAGGGAAAATCAGACTGCTTTACAGAAAATCTGATCACACATGTGTGTGACAAAAAGCGTGTCTAGCTCGCTGTGGAGCCTACATCCTAGTCCTGCTACCCCGGACGCTGGGGCAGGATCACAAATTCCAGGCCAGCCTTAGCAACTCTGTAAGACCTGCTGGGGTGCGGCTCACGCGACAGCACTGGTCTAGCACGCGTCCATCCCGACGAGGTTCGGGTGGGGAAATGGGAATCTAGCTCAGGTGGAGCCTTCCCAGGTTCAACCCCTGGRRAAAAAAAAATGAATAAAACACTAAGAGAACGGAAAAATGTCCCAGCTGGAATGAACGCCCACACTGCGGCCCCGCAAGCACCCGACCCACAAAAGCACGGCCCCGGCCCACGGGCGAACCGGGAAGTCGGCTCCAGAGGCCAGCGGGCCAAGGGCAGAGCCGGGGCGCACCGGAGAGCTCCGCCCTCCCCCGGCCGGAGAGGGGAAAGCAGGGTCGCGGGAGCCTTCGTTGCCTAGGCCGAAAGGAAGCCAAAACTTCCGGAAGTCCTAGTCCCCAGGCCCGGAAGGAGACCGGGCCCGGAAGGAGTCCGTAGTCCCCGGGCCCGGAAGGGGGCCGGACCGCCGGAAACTGGGTCTGCCAAGCCCGGGTCTCAGGGTGCAGTGTTCTCCACGAGACGGAGAGCTGGGCCGGCGACATGGCGGGGCTGGAGCTCCTGTCTGACCAGGGTTACCGGGTGGACGGTCGTCGCGCCGGGGAGCTGCGCAAGATCCAGGCGCGCATGGGCGTGTTCGCGCAGGCCGACGGCTCGGCCTACATCGAGCAGGGCAACACCAAGGCGCTGGCAGTGGTCTACGGGCCGCACGAGGCGAGTGTGCCGCGTGGGATCGGCGGGGTCGCGGTCGCGCCTCCCGTTTACGCAACGAATGCTCGAAGCCGCATATCGGCTGAGTAAATGCCCAAGTTCTTAAGGTGCATCTCTGGGTATGTCCTTCTCTCTCCTGCGCCCTGTTCTCCCCTGTCGGGTTCCTCATCGTGCCAGGCTCTCGCCCATTCGGTCACTTCCCCGCTGTTCTCCTCCTGCGTCATGTTTGGGCCACAGCACGCTCTGTTGCCTTTGTGTCTACCACCCGAACGTCAGCTCTACTTAATCTTACTCGTTTGTCTTCCCACGGGAACATAAACTCTCTGAGAGCAGCGACTTTAAGTAAATAAAACTCTGATTTTATTGCTTCGTTCTACGCTATAACAGTGCCTCCCCAACRCAGAGATGATTTTTAATTGCTTAGCAAATTAATGTGGGAGCCCAATTTTCTAGGTGAAAGAAGCCAGGATGAAGGCAATGGGTAGAAACAAACATGGCACTTCTGCAAAGCCGAAAGAATGACGGTGGAGGGAGAGGAGATAATTCCAAATAACAGTTTCCAGGGAGGTGAGGACCTAGGGCTTTGTAGACTGGGGAAAGGATTTGGGATTTTATTTCCCGCATAGCAGAATCCTTTGGTAGGTAAGTAGAATGTGAGTGTGTGGTGAGACAGAATCGGCTTGATGTTTTTAAACATACTGTGGCCACCACTTGGAGGAGTTGGAAGGAAATGAAGTGAGGCATGCACGCCAGAGGTGATGATGGCCTAGACTGACAAATGGATCTCCCTTGAATTTTTGGAGATAAGGTTGCTGCCACTCTCTTAAGAAGGAGGTTGAAAGGACTAGGGAATGTGAGCTGGGAGGGTAGGCTTGACTTATGCATCCTTTCTCTTCTAGATCCGGGGTTCCAGGTCTCGAGCCCTGCCTGACCGGGCTCTGGTGAACTGTCAGTATAGTTCAGCAACCTTCAGCACAGGTGAGCGCAAGCGGAGGCCACATGGAGACCGTAAGTCCTGTGAAATGGGCCTACAGCTGCGCCAGACCTTTGAGGCAGCCATTCTTACTCAGCTGCACCCACGATCCCAGATTGACATCTATGTGCAGGTGAGCTGGCTGCAGTTTTCAACCCACTGAGGGAAGGGAACTGGAGGGTGGGATGGCAGTTTAATGGACTGATAACAGCGTGGGGGGGTCCTTACAGGTGCTGCAGGCTGATGGTGGAACCTACGCAGCTTGTGTGAATGCCGCCACGCTGGCAGTGTTGGATGCTGGGATACCCATGCGGGACTTTGTGTGTGCATGTTCAGCTGGTTTTGTGGAAGGCACAGCCCTGGCAGACCTCAGCCATGTGGAGGAAGCAGCTGGTGGTCCCCAACTAGCCCTGGCTCTGCTGCCAGCCTCAGGCCAGATCGCGCTGCTTGAAATGGATGCCCGGCTGCATGAGGATCACTTGGAGCAGGTGCTTGAGGCCGCTGCCCAAGCAGCTAGAGATGTGCACACCTTGTTGGACCATGTGGTACGGCAGCATGTGCGTGAGGCATCTATCTTGCTGGGGGACTGAACACCCAGCCATTTTTGTCCAGAATAAAGTCCTGCTCCTCTGCTCATCACTCTTTGCTGTATAGCACTTGCAAACAGTTTGGCTCTGGGGAATGACTGGGGAGCCAACTCCACACATGAACTATATCTCTTGTGGCCTCAGGACTCAAACCTCCAGAAGGATAGAGAGGGTGGTGTGGGGGTATCTGGGTGGAGAAAGCAACCTGTTGGTGAGAGGTGAGAAAAATCAAGCCTCAGACCAAGGAGTTTGCCATCCTCAGTCCAGTCCCTCCAGAACCTGAGTACAAGGATTAAAAGAAACCTTGACTGGCTATAGGTAGGGCTGATGCCTCCCCCTAGGAGCACCTTGGGCCTTTTCCTACTGCTTACCTTGGGCTCTAAACTACAATAGACTCCTCTGCTCACTTGGTCTTTTCTCCTTCGTTTCGACATTTTCCCCCCGGCCTAAAATTGTACCCCCTTCAGCAAGCTCCCCTTCATCCACCGCCCGCGTTGGCCACCAGCTCTCCTACTATGCCAGGGACTTGCTGGCCTGGACAAAACAGTACGCTCCTTACAGCTACTCCGTATACACGGGCCTGTCTTACTAGATWTGCATCTTCCCTGTGGGTCTTATATCTACCCATGAAGACCTTAATTCAGGACCCAAGTGACACCACTGTGATTTCATTTTCAGTGACTGACATCCATAAGAATGATTCTTAAACGCCTGAACCTCAGTCCACACTGTAGTCATTCACAGCCTCTCTGGCAGGCGTGGTGCTCTGAGCACCTTCCCTGACAATTGTCTCCGACTTCTGTGAGCCTTCCAACGGCACTGCTCCCGATACCCTGGTGTCCGCATTGTCTCTGCTCCCTTCCGGAGGCCGATCTCTGAGACTAGACTGCAGTCGCACAGGTTCCGGCTCCCTGCTGGTACTGCGCAGGGTCGGTCCAGCCCTTCCGGATGCCGATCCCGGAGACCAGACTCCAGTMGCACAGGTTCCGGCTCCCTGCAACCCTAGGGCCTCCAGCAGCCGAGCTGGAGAAAGGTTCTGCTTTGCGCACGCGCAGCGGCGCGAATTTCAGTGGGACCGGAAGTGCGGCTGGGTTTGGGTTCGGGGTCTGACAGGAGCGACTCGCGCTCCGCGGCTGGAGCTGGCTGCGAGAGCAGGGCCCCGCGTCGCCCTCCCGCCATGGGCCTCCTGTCGGACCCCGTGCGCCGGCGCGCGCTCGCCCGTCTCGTGCTGCGCCTCAACGCGCCGCTCTGGTGAGGGTGGGCTGGGCTGGGGTCCCTGCGCTGCTCGCGCCCGTCTCCTTCGGTCCACGTCCCGCGGGGGATGCGGGGACCCGGAGTCTAGGTTTCCAGGCCCCTCCCACCTGCCCGTTCGATCCCTGGTTTGGASCTGGTGGCCAGATCACGTCCCAGATCACGCTAACTCTCCGGCTGCTCCCTCTGACCCCTCGCAGCGTGCTGAGCTACGTGGCGGGCATCGCCTGGTTCTTGGCTCTGGCCTTCCCGCCGTTGACCCAGCGTACTTACATGTCGGAGAACGCCATGGGATCCACCATGGTGGAGGAGCAGTTTGTGGGCGGAGACCGTGCCCGGGGCTTTGCCCGCGATTTCGCTGCCCACCGCAGGAAGTCGGGGTGAGCCGCAGAGCACCGGGTTTGGGAAAAGTAGTGGTGGCCAAGACCAGGGAGCTCCGTTCAGAGGCTGTCTTTGTGTCTCCAGGGCTCTGCCAGTGGCCTGGCTGCAGCGGACGATGCGTACAGTAGGGCTGGAGGTCTACACGCAGAGTTTCTCTCGGAAACTGCCCTTCCCGGATGAGACCCACGAGCGCTATGTATTGAGGAAGGGTGGGGGTSAGGGGGTGAGGGTGCTTGGGATAGAAAAGCGCTTTGAAGGGGTCACCTGGGGCCAAGAATCCTGGGAGGGATGATCTGGGGCCAGGGAAATCCCTGCTGTGCAGATTGTAGGGCCAAGGAAAGGTGGTGGTAGAGGCTTTGACTTTCTACACTAGGGTTGCTCTGAGGCTCCTTCACCCATGCATTGTACAGATGGTATCAGGCACCAACGTGTATGGCATCCTGCGGGCCCCACGTGCTGCCAGCACYGAGTCTCTGGTGCTCACTGTACCCTGTAACTCTGACTCCACCAATAGCCAGGCTGTTGGACTGCTGCTGGCACTTGCTGCCCATTTCCGAGGTGAGAATCCAGGGCTGCTGCCCAGAGAGGGTTTGGCCAGTGCTTCAGTCCTGCTTACCTTATGTCTGACCTCCAGGGCAGATTTACTGGGCCAAGGATATCATCTTTCTGGTGACAGAACATGATCTTCTGGGCACTGAGGCTTGGCTTGAAGCCTACCACGACGTTAATGTAACTGGTAGGTGCTCTTGTCTTCTGGTCTCTCTCGGGGTCAACTGTTCTCACCAATGTCTCCTCTGGTGTTTATTTGCTTGCCCCTACAGGCATGCAGTCATCCCCGTTGCAGGGCCGGGCTGGAGCCATTCAGGCAGCTGTGGCCCTGGAGTTGAGCAGTGATGTGGTTACCAGCCTTGATGTGACTGTGGAAGGTCTCAATGGACAGCTGCCCAACCTTGACCTGCTCAACCTTTTCCAGACCTTCTGCCAGAAAGGGGGGCTGCTATGCACACTTCAGGGCAAGGTTTGACCACCTGCTGAGGTATAGGGCCTTTGGTGAGGGGTTTATCTAATCCTATTCCCATCCCTACTCTGCCCTCTCACCATCCCTCCAAAGCTTCAGCTCCAGGATTGGACAACGCTGGATGGGCCATTGCAGGGCCTGCAGACACTGCTGCTGATGGTTCTGCGGCAGGCCTCTGGCCGCCCCCATGGCCCTCATGGCCTCTTTCTGCGGTACCGGGTAGAGGCCCTGACCCTTCGGGGCATCAATAGCTTCCGGCAGTACAAGTATGACTTGGTGGCTGTTGGCAAGTAAGTAGCCTCTGATTCCCTCTTTTCGTTCTCAGGGAAGCATCCAACTGGTGCACGGAGGGAGTGACTGACTTTGTCCTGCTATGCACCTGACAGGGCTCTGGAGGGCATGTTCCGAAAGCTCAACCACCTGCTGGAGCGCCTACACCAGTCATTCTTCTTCTACCTGCTTCCTGCTCTATCTCGCTTTGTCTCCATTGGTCTCTACATGCCTGCTGCTGGCTTCTTGCTCCTGGTCCTTGGTCTCAAGATATCCTCTGTCTCCCAGCTATTCACTCATGGACAGCCTTGGAGCCCCTCAACTCTGCATCATCCTACTCTGGGATTGGGGTGGGAAAGTCCTGGGTTCCCCACCTGGCAGATCTGATCACACTGTCATTGAGGTCCTTGACTTGGGCCATGCTCTGGAGCTGTGGATGCAGCTGCATGAAGCTGGAGTGGGCTCTGAAGAGGCTGGAGGTGCTCCTGGACCAAGTACCCAACTTCCCCCAGCACAGGTGATGATGCCCCTATCTGCTGTTGGGTGGGCTTCTAGGATCCTGAGTAGTGTCTTCTACTGCCACTCAACCTCAGCTGGAATAGTGRTTTTCTGGCCCCATGGCCTATCTCAAGGTGCCTGTATACTATACCCTGCAGGGTGTGGGGCTGGCCTCGCTTGTAGCACCCCTGCTGATCTCTCAGGCCATGGGCCTGGCCCTCTACATCCTGCCTGTGTTGGGTCAACATGTGGCCGCCCAACACTTCCCAGTGGCTGAGGCTGAGGCCGTGGTGCTGACACTGCTGGCAATTTATGCAGCTGGCCTGGCTCTTCCTCACAACACCCACCGGTGAGTGACTAGGCTTGGGCAGGTGGCACAGGGCCCCYCTGGACATGTAGGCAGTTCTTTGGCTTCCTCTGAGCCTTTTGCCTTTTAGGGTAATGAGCACACAGGCCTCMGACAGGGGATGGATGGCACTGAAACTGGTGGCTCTGATCTACCTAGCACTACAGCTAGGTTGCATCACCCTCACCAACTTCTCCCTGGGTTTCCTGCTAGCTGCCACMATGGTACCTGCTGCTGCACTCACCAGACCCTATGGGCCTCGGTATGTACTCATCAGCCCCCACCTCCCCCAGTGCCTGTGCYCTTCTCCCAGAGTCCTTTGTCATTCTGTTCTCTGTCCCCACCATCTGTGGAACATACCCTGACGATGCCTCTCCCACCCAGGCCACTCTATGCTGCCCTACTGGTGCTGACAAGCCCAGCAGCCATGCTCCTGGGCAGCCTGTTCCTGTGGCGGGAGCTACAGGAGGCACCGATGTCACTTGCTGAGGGGTGGCAGCTTTTCCTCGTGGCACTGGCCCAGGGCGTGCTGGAGCACCACACCTATGGTGCCTTGCTCTTCCCACTGCTTTCCTTGGGCCTGTACCCTTGTTGGCTGCTCTTCTGGAATGTGCTCTTCTGGAAGTGAGGTCTGCTACCTGGGCACAAAGGCTGGGGCAGGGCTCTCCAAGCCCTCACCATTTTTCCTCCTCCCTGGGAAATAAACAAGTGTCTGTTTCAGCTGTTGTTTGGGCTTCTGGCCCATTGACCTTGTGGGGAACCCATTCTCACACACCTCGGCCCCGGGAAGATACGTCTAGCCCATTGTGCTCTGTGAATCAACAGTCACTGCAGGGCCAGGAACAAAGCTGGGATGAGGAAATTCTTGGGAGCCTGATGGGAGCAGAAGCACCCAGAGACCACACCATGCCATCTTCAATGCTGGGGCTAAGTGGGCAAAGGGGTTGGAGCCCTACAGAGGAGGCTCAGGGTTCAGGCCATGTGCCCAACCAAGGCCAGAGCATATGGGCTTTGTATGAACAATGTTGAAGCAACCTAAGTAAAGTGCCTAACAGGAACAGGGCAGCAGCATAGTTTGGCAGAAGCAATCTTTGAAGCCCAGCCAATACCCAGGAGCAACAGGCTATGGGGGATGGAGCCCCAAAGTGGGAAGGCCCTGTCAGGCAGCACAGAGAAGCAGATTATTGTACTAAGACCCTAAAAGGAACTTCAGAGTCCATCCTGGAGAAAAAGAGTGTGGCCCTTTGGTGAACTCAGGGCCATGTGGTGCTGAGGCTGGAGAAAT